TTAATCACGTTCTTCAAGCAATCATGGGATAAGGACTCTCACTTAGTTGCTTTCTTGATTATTGCCCACCTGAGGGGTGTCGAAGACGACTGTAAGGCCTTAGCACATATCAATCCCATACAATTGCTAGATGTAAGTTCACAGTATGTAGAGAGATTTATGATATTCATACATAGCGAAAAATTGCTCCCCCCACGGGATAAGATACACTGAGACGCAAAATATAAATCGACAGATCCTAAAACCGTAATAACTGAACCCTTTGGAGAAAGATTTGGCTCCACATAGGTATATTAGGCTCCAGGATCTCTTAGTCCATCCATAGTAACATAAACCAGGTAAACCACTTTGAATTTCTAAATAATTTTCCATCGGAACAACTTTCCTTTAATTAATTACTTATATATCAAGATTACAAAAAAAAAAAAAAAAATACAGAAATTCTATGTCGATTCTTCTGGCGATCATTGAATCGAATTACAAAGGGGGAAAAGAAAGAAAAAGAAAGAAGAGGAGGAATTGAGTGAGGGAACACCTGTAATCATCGAAATGCCGAGGGTAATACTCAGACGGTGTCGTCTCCAGGTTTCTTGGGCTTGCGGTATTTTTCTTCAACTTTTTTTGCAGAAAAAAGGGCCTCATTTACAACCTTCTTGATGTTGGGAACATTATAATTTTGGGCTATGTAAATTCCAAATATTGTTCCAGATATGAATGCGAAGCTACTCCTTATAATTCCCATCACTCTGTATACTCTCCTTCTTGTGTAGAACAAAATAAAACAAAAGAAAAGAAAGATTAGGGTTTTCTCTGAATTTATTGGAGTTTGTTATTTTAAAAGGATTGCAGAGTTTCTGGAAGCTTCAGCGTATTGCCTCCGTGCGCCGCGGCGGTCTTGCAGAAACACTGTGTGATTGCAAGAATGAAAACTTTCACTTTCGACTCCCCGTTTGGCTCCAGAAAATGGATGGAAAATAGTATTTTTTTTGAAAAATAAATGATTAAAAAAAAGAAAAAATTTTCAATTTACGTATAATATTATTTTATATAAAATTGTGTGGTTGAAAATAAAAGAGAAAACTAGAATGGAATTTAATGGGGATCAAACGGAGACATTAAAAAGTTTACTGTTACGTGAATTTTTATTTCTAAGCCTCTATTTGAAAAATATTTTTAGGAAATTAAAATTTATTTCTACTATTCAATTAAATTTTAATTAAAAGAAATATTCGAAATAATTACTCATTAACTTATACGCATAGGGTCCATAGAATGTAAGGAAAAAAAAGAATAATATTATTTACAATCGCTCACTATCGTAGTTGCCATACGTAATATACGTATGACGATTAGTAATTTGATGTATAACATAATAAAAATACTATCACATTAGTGCATTCAATCACTAACCGTCACATATATATCACGCGAGGCGACTATGATAATAAACGATTGCGAATAACATTACTAAAAGAAAAATATTGAAGAAATAAATAAATATTAAATACGAAAAGATATTTTTCTATGAAAATCTTCCAAAATTTTGCTAGTGATTCAAAACTTTTTATGAGAATATGAATTTATACATTCTACTTAAAAATTAGCACGTGGAGATGAGAGATTTTATAAAAGTCATTGATATTTTGAATACCCCACGCATGTTGCGGTGACACTAAATTAAAGCGTTCATAAAATGAGTAATTAATCCAAAAGTATTGACAGTTTTCACGTCGCGACAGTGTGCAGAGTTCGATTCCCCGCAAGGTGGAATTGGCTTTGTTGCAAGCGAGAGTTACCATATGGGTTAACAGCCTTGGTCTATCCATATGCTCCCCACCCTGACTCCTGGGAGGCACATCCTGCGATTTACCTCCTTCACGATGGCTCAGGGCAGGGTCGGTGGGGGCCCCTAAGGTTGGGGTTCAACCTTTTTTTTTTTTAGTTACTCACTCTCTTCATTTAGAAATCTTCAATAGGTATATATTGCTTCTTTTTGTTACTCCACATGGCAAGCAGGAGCTTTTATGGAAAGCTACTCTGGGGACTAGGCACTAATCCAGAGTGTCTGCTTAGGATGATGAAAGTTATGTGCTTTCTACAGAAGTGACTGCTTTCAGATGAAAGTAAAACCAAACTAATTGAGAAAAGAAAGAGAAGAAATAAAAAAATAAAATCATAGGTGATACTTACTGCATCCAATTGTCATGTACGATCATCTAAAGCATATGAACTCTTTCCTAATAAGTACATTCCATTTCAGACAATTCGATCATAAAGATTGGTCCGACTTAGGAAACTCTCTTTAAAACAAAGCATGTAGTAACGAATCAGAATCATTTAAAGATGAATCTTTCTTTTCTCAAGAAAATGAAAAATAGAAAAGTCCATAAACGTCCGAACTAACCCTAACTTGAGCACAATAAATAAATAAAGCTAGCAGACCTAATAAGTGTAGGCACAAAAGATTGGTTCTATACAACTCTTTTTTCAATGAAATGGAAAAAAAAAGTGATTTTTGTTATGTAAAAGAATGAAAACTAATACCATAATTGAATTAATCAAGATCAAAATTGTTTATCAAAGTGCTTCTTATTGCTCTTTAACTTAAGAGTAAAACACGATCATTTCGTTCCATTTTTCAGTAAAATAGTGAAGGATATTTTGCCCTTTTTAGTAGAGATTAAAATTAGATTTTTAGTAAATTTTGATAAAAGTTGATTAAATGTGTAGTTGAAAAGTTGCAAATGTTATGAAATGTGCGTTAAAATTAATTGTTAACTTTGATTTTGATTTTAATCAGATTATTCAGCGATACCAAATAGGGGACCTTTTGTAATGAAAGTGAAGTAGCCATCTTGCTTAGCTTTCATTTTACACGGGTGTGGGCGTTAGCCACTCTCTATTTTTTGGCGCCAATTAAAACAATTGAATTGTTACATTGATAAACAAATAAACTGTTGACCTCGCGAAATGGACCTTACGTGTGGCCAATTGATAGCCACTCCATGTAATCCTTCCTGCGCACAATAATGAACTGTCAAAAGCACACGGTCGAAATCAATTGAGGTGGTGGCGGTCGCATACACTCTGATGGTCAAATCAGTGATTGGTGGTCGGAACAGTGCTCGAATTGTGCAAGAGAATGGGAAAGAGAATAAATATTTCTTGAGTGTGGAGAGATAAGTTGAAAGATTTTCATTACTTTTGTCTCTTGCCAAACATTGAGTATTTATAGTTGAGGAGCACCCTTGGATGTGAGACACGTGTATGCATTTGACGGTGTGAGGCGTTCGCTCGTAGGCGTCAATCAGCCGCGTCTAAAGTGGACGGGTAATTAATTCTTCTGAGTTGAGTTGACATAAAGTTGATATGTCACTTCAATTAGACACGTGGAGATGTCACATCAATTAATACATGGGGATAGAGGATCCTGACACAGATATTCTGAAACTGGTGCGGAGGTATTTGTTAAGGGAGCACCTCGGAGTGTCCAACGCTTCAATGCCAGAGGGCACTTCGATCGCTTCAATAGATTTAGTTTGTGATACATGTGCCTTGCAATTCGTCAAGTTGGAGTTCGATCGAGGTTAACATCGCTTCTGAAACACTTCAAGGGACACGTGGCGTCGCGTAGAGGAGTGGACCTGATGTGTCGAAGTGGTTTGTTGAGGAGGGCGTAACATAAACAATCAATCAAAAGAGGACCGCTTCACTCCATTATAAGATGTATTACAATTTAATCCAATTCAGCAACGTCGTCAACACTTTGGCCAGTTCTTGCCAAGCACTGAACTAATAGGAAGTGCGGCATTGCATAATTCTTGTGTTTTTTGCACTTGACTTGGTGGACAATTGACCTTAAGAATTTTAGCAACTCCCAATTTATTAACAACCAAATATAGGGACTGAGAGTATGAATCATTGGTTTATTATCAAAAGAAAAAGAAAAAAAAAACACTATAATTCCAAGCCCAAAATGACATAATCAAATAATTGTTTAGCCAATGATTGAGTTCAAGTGCACTAAATAAATTGAGGAACTAAGGATGTTTCCAATAATCACAGTTGCTTCTGCTGAAGCAATTGTAGCAACTCGAGTATGACTCTACATGGTTGTGAAAATCTCAAATTGGATGTGCGCTTAGTAAGGTTACTAACCCCTACTAGTTAAAGCATACATATGAGGGTGCCTACCGTACAATCATATGGGAAGTGCATCCTGCACACATACTAACATAGGATCTTTCCTACCGCTACCTACTAGTGAATCGAATTAGGTAAGGAAAGAAATGTCGGTGTTGCAATTCCTTCCATCCCAATAAATCATGTTATCCGTGATTTGATGATTCTATTTTCCATGATGCAGGTCGACTGAAATTCCAATAGTCAAGTCATTGTCTCTGTCTTTACGCAAGCTATAAGAAGTTAAGCCCTTAAACCAATTTAGTTTGATAGGACCATGTAAAAATGCTAACTTTAGTTTTTCGAACATCGTTAAAACGTGTTCTCAAAATCTCTATATCTACAACTGTAGTAATAGGGGGGTATGATTTGATAATACGCCATTTTGATAACTAGTTTATGCTAGACCAACATGTTTATTTGGAGAACCGATAAATACTTCTACAAAAAAATTTTGTGATAAAAGCATTTTTCTTTTAGAAAGAGGGAGAGGTATTGTTTCATAATCTACCAGTGTTCATGAGTTTCAAGTCCTCCATCCCAAATTTCATCTTTGCGGCCATCTAATTTATCGGTACTTTCAAATAAAATCTCATACTTAACTTACTTTTACTGATGATTTGATAATCTTGAAATATGAAGACGTCTTAAACTTTTATAAAGTCTTGATTTAATGATCCATAACTTTTAAAGATTGAGAAGTCTATATTGAATATTGAATTCTAATACAATCAAACTTTATATTTTTTCTAAAACTCTAAATTGAAACCATTTTCATAGACAATAGAATTACAATTTAACTAGAAAAATGATTTTTTATAAGCATAAATATGATGTTTATCAAATTAAGACTAATAAAGGCGTATTACCATCTCCATGAAGATAAATCTTTGATATTTTTATTCACCCATATAAACTTAACCGATTTTAGTCGTTACTGCCTTTCCCGCAAAAATTGTCATATCTAGCGTAAAAGAGAGAGGTTACAGATTATTTAATTCGATCGCCTTCAAATCCGCCTGAATAATTTGTAAGATCATCACTACTTTTATGTATTCCGTCCAATTCGCATGTATTTACATGTATGTGTATAGATATATGCTTGATCGAATTTTTGAGTGATGCATTTTCAAACTGTATTCAATTCGATCGCCTGTTTTTTCTTCTTTTTTTTTTTTTTTTTTTTTTTTTTTTTGCTTTTTTCCTAATAAAAAGTTCTGGTTTCTCTTCCGTATTTTGGTTTTTCTGGTTGTTTAATTCGGTATTGAATTGGGGGTTCCCCCCTTTTGATACTTTAGGGCTTTTACTTTCGTTGAATAAAATACATCGGATAAAAATTTAATCTTTTCCATTTAGATGCGTTTATTTTTTTTTATATGTCCACAATTCTCATGGTTAATTATCTACTTAATTTTAGGGCCAGATTAGTGTTTTTATATAGGAATAAGATATTATTGACTTCACTGTGTATGATATGGTGGCATTTGTCTCTCAAATTCTCAGAATGAGTATGTCGATACTTACGGAAGTTCGTTTTTAGCGTCGAAGTTATTTTCAGGCTATAAGATATATGAAAGTTGTTGACCTGTATATCAATTATAGAATATATGTATAGTTCAAGTTTTGCATCAGATATTCAGTCTTCTTTTATTCATATATTTTTAATTCAGAGAGTTAAGAGTCGAATATCACACGTATTTACATGTTTTAATGTATGGAGCTTCATTCTAGTATGATTCCCAGCTGGTGCTTCCCATGGGTTAAAGTGTATTTTATATATGACAGGTGTAAAGTTGGGAATGAGTTGCTTTTTTTTCTCTGGATACTCATTGAGTTTATATGGATGTAAGTGAGATTGGAAGACTTGTTGACAGTAGATGTAGTGATGCATGACGAAAACATGAAGAATAATAAAAGGATCTTGTTCATAATACACGAACGGGTGTTATTTGAATTTTGCTTGAATAGACATGAGAAACACTGAAATTCATTAGAGAACGAAAAAAACAGAAATATTATTATTCAAAAATGACTCTGTGATTTTCAAACGCTTAACACATATTTATACAATCAAAACGAAACCTTAAATCGGTAGACAAATTTAAATAGAACTAGGAAACTGAAATATGGCAAAAATACCCCTAAACTAACTCAAAATATGAAAAGGTTAAAACAACCCCTAAATGATGGAATTTGACCACGAAAGTTTGACGATGTTGGCCAAGTCCCCCTGGTAGAACTACAGTAAACTAAAAAATGACACTGTAAGGTCCGTCCCTTCCTCCATTCCTTGGGAATGTGGGCTGGGAGGGCTCACAAGTTCTAACTCCTTCGTTTGTGCCCCTTCCGGCTTGTACTTGTTCAAGTAGATTTTACACTCGAACTAAAAGTTATACGCACTTTTGTAGTCCCTTCTAATTTCTCCTCTTTTTCAACTGGTTTATGATTTTCGCTTCTGACTGTTCCACATCATGTAGGATGCAAACGGTGCATAATATTCTGAAACCATCTCTAGAATGAAAATTTGAGAGTTTTGCTTCCCCCAAATTAATGTTATCTTTGTTGCTATTGGGTTAGAAGAATCCAATGTAGTCAATTTTCCATCCTTTTCCTAACCTATTTGTTGTTCCACTTCAAAAATATAAAAAGTAAAAATAAAAATAAATAAATAAAATAAACGACTCTTAATGAAAGCAACAATTTGTTTTTGTGCTTTGTAAAGATATTTGGCCTATTTATGGTTTTGTCTGGGTTCTAATAATGAACTATCTTGCTTGTGTAGGATCTATTGTTGCAGCCTTCGTTGATTTTATGGGACTGTTTTGAAGCTGGATAAACAAGCTGTAGTCTATGTTCTATCCTAATGATAATATTTTATGAGTGCTTACGTGCAAAAAATGTTATGCTAATTTTCTTCTCATGAAAATCTTGAAACTTGGTTTTGGTGCAAATATCGTTTTTGTTTTCCATGGGATTGAAGTTATTGTCAATTTCGGCGGGATGCACCATTTTAAACCTTGTAGGCCTACATTATTGGAAGCAAATGTCACTTGAGAATTATAAACCAGACGGTTTGATTGTTGAAGATCTTATTAATTCCGATAGAGCAAGCCATTCCTTGGAGCTGCTTTTGAGTTTATTCTCTACTCCTGCATTGGTGGCCAGTTTTGCACTTAATGTATTTATTTTTATAATTTTATGTCTCAAGGTATGTTTTTCCAACATATTTTGATTGATTTTTTTTCTGGAAATCAAATGCATTATCATTCTGAAACTGGTCTAAATTATACTCGATAATCTGAATATATGCAGATGATATTCTTTTCAGAGTTGTACTCCTCTGAAATTCGAAAATTATTAGAACGCCTCATTAACTACATCATCTACAAGGTAAGGCATCACTATATTCTGATTTTGTTCATTTTTTGTTGCATTTTAGTTTTTCGAGTTTTATTTACTTAGGTTTTTTCTTGTACTTATTGATGGTGACAGAGACCTCATTTAAGTCTTCTTTTTCTTTTCCCTCTCTCCTTTTATTTATTTATTTATTTATTATTTTTATTTATTTATTTATTTTTAACGTGCTGACAACTATTTGTCTATGATTGTGAGATTTTATTTTGTCAAACTTGGCTTCAATTATTTTTCTTATTTCCTTCAGAAAATACTGAGAACTCATGTTACTATGGGGATGATTGACATGCTGTTTGTTACACTTTCAGTAGATTGAAATAGAATGTTACTTTGTCACCCAAGAATTGAGGAATTATAATATAAAAAGGTGTTTTCAATTCTTTGTCAGACATGAATTATCAATTCTGGAGTTCATTTGAGGTTTGTAAACTGTAGTGAGCTACGAAATTTCTGCACCTACATTGTGTGTGTCCTGTAGAATTCTGTAAGTGAATCAAAATGAAAATCTCACAGCAGCTACAATTGTGCTCTGGGGTAATTGAGGATACTATCTTCAGGGTCATGGTTTTGACAAGCCACTTGTGGACACAAAAGTAGCCTGTGAAAGCTGAAAGAATGTTCTTTTTCTTTATATGTTGTCAACTTGTCATGTTTGGCTTTGATTACTTGCAAAATGGTTTGTTGACAACCATTGGTTACCGATATTTTATGAAGCTGCAAACTTGACGATTGTGCCAGAAGTTTTTAGAGATCTTGGTGAATACTTCTGTTTGCATAGGATTACCAATTCCTTTTTCTTTTTTCCCCCTCTTTGGGTGGGGGTGGGTGGGTGCCTTTCCCATGGCAAATATAGGAGCATCTACAAATTTTGGTGGGATTGGGTTCTTTTTTTTTTTTTTTTTTTTTGTTTATGCATGTTTTTTTTTCTTTTTTTTGGGGTGATAGTAAAACGGAAATACATTGAATGCCATGTTAAATTGATTGAAGTATATGAAGAAAAATGGAAACAAATTATACACGTCTCTCTCTCTGATGGTGACTGATTAATGAGTGGATGCAGGGAATATTTCTTCCGTTAGTGGTTCCGCCAACAATATTTCAAATAGGCTTGTGGTCAACTTGGTTGGGTGTGGTTTGTTTCTTAAAGGTATTCAACTATTCACAAAAATATACAAAGCAGTTGATATTGTTGGATGCATGAGATAGCTTATTATGAAATAAGATCTCCTTATTGTGCAGATGTTTCAAGCTCTAGCTAGGGATCGACTTGAGCGTTTGAATGCTTCTCCTTCTGCAACTCCATGGACATACTTCCGTGCATATTCTGCACTGTTGCTGGTTTTCTCTGTTGACTTGCTTTGGTATTTTACAATACCTTTTATATTGCACTTATGGCTTGAAATCCACTTTGATCCTAAGCTGAAGAATAAGAATATTGTTGGAGGAGTAATATTTTGGAATGTATCTGCTACTCAAGCAACGCTTGAGGATTATAAGTTAGTCCAAATAGACAAAAACAAAAATATTTCATATGAGAAGTGGATTTCACCCTTTGACGTCTTCTTCACATATGTTTTACTTATTGGAAAAACTGGTAATTATTTATCGCACAAAAGAGTTATATTGTAAATACCCTGGCGGCAATGGGTCAGTGGTCTTATATCCCTGGTGTTGCTGTACCATGGTTTTCAAGGGAGAATGAAGTTAGTCCCCCTGGGAGTCATTTTTAACCTTCTTTGGACCTGTCGACATCGTGAGAACCAGTAATGCCTAAGGAAAATTTTCAGTAATGCTATACGAATTTAAAGCCAAACCTGCCTGAAAATTCTTTTCTTCCTTTCATTCTTTTGTGGGTGGAATACATTTCCCTGCTAGCTAATGATGTTCCCTTGGTTTGCCTGACACATTCCTTCAAGATGCCTTACTTTATTGCTGGGCATTGTATTTGCACTCCTCATATTAGAAGCCTAATTGTGCAATGATCCAGATTTGCAGTGAATCGTAGCCAACTTTACACCTGAAGCTTATTGGAGAGAGAGAGAGACTATATTTATGTTTCTATATTGATTGTTGTTTTGTAATGACAAGGTAAATGATAGACCAATTAACGTAATGCTGCAATACGGACATTTATTAGAATAAGACAGTACCAGTTTTTATGGTTGGTGCATAGAGGTACATTAATTAATAATCTGTAGCATACTTGTTTAGTATGTCACCTACTGATTTCCCTAATTTCTGGCAATTAATGTTATTAACTTTTGGACAAAGTTATTCATATATGATATTATTTGACCATTAACCTTTTCAAATTAACATTCACATGACTATATATTTGCTTGTTTGTATTGTTGTCTTGATTGTCTTAAACTATATTTGATGTGTTATTGTAGGATGTGGCTATGTTTTACCATATACAGTGCAACAAGTTTATCAGTGTCTTTGTTGTTATTTTTTGAGCCTTCTAGCATTGCTTTCGAGACACTACAGGTAGCATTCAGGTCGATTAGTAGAATGTATGGCGTTATTGAATGGAAATAACCAATTTGTTGACTGTTTTCTAATTTTTATCTATAGGCCATGGTGGTTCATGGATTTCAGTTGCTCGAGATATGGGTGCATCACTCTGCAGGAGATATTGCAAATTTCCGGTTATCTAAAATCTTCGATATATCCCCTGCAGGTAGGTCTAAGTCTTTATTTATACCTGTGTAATTGTTGTTGTTGTTGTTCTTTTTTTATTGCGGATTTCACAATCCATTGTTCTGTTGTCATCAAAGACTTTGCACCAACTTTGGCGTTGATATTTTTCTCTGGTTTAAGTGTTGTTTCTTTGCAGACAAATTTGTCTCGGTAAAGCATGATATGTTTTAATTAGATAGACCTATGTTGCTTGGACTTGGTTATGGTTGTTGGGTTCGGGTATAAATCTAGAAGTAGGAAATTTTTTCTTCTAAAACTTGGGATAATGGGATACAACTAAAAATGATCCAAAATTTTGAACACGGGTACGTGGATGTGTCTTCCAAACATAAAATATTATAAACTAATAATTTTAGATATATATTTTAGGGAGTGTAAAATTAAATTGGCTTAGTGAGTACTTACTATAAACTATTTTACATAGGGAAAGTCCTCACTTTTGATTGTGAAAAATCTTGATCCCCTTTTCCCACTGGCCGTGTATAGGCCACATTTCATAAATGTTATATGCCAGTCAACAATCACTCCGTTGCTGTTATTTCGAGAGAGCTAATCACTTCTGCTGATCATCGCCTTTCAAGAGCCCAAAGATGCTACATTGGATCAAAGAAAGCTGCCTCTTCTGTTTAAGTTGTATCACTTTTTTCCTCGATAGCAAGCCATACCAATTCTTCATGCCTTCTACATCTTGATTTTATGGCTCAAATCAATTATATTGCTTTAAAAATATTGAGCCTACTCTTCATTTTCCTTTAACCTCTGCTTCCTCCCTTGGCGATCTTTCTTCCATTTTTGTGTCATGACCACTTCTAAATTGAAGTATCCAACATGGATCCACACCCAATATCCATACTCATGTCGTATTGTGTTGATATGTGTACACCATCCAAAATAGAGTATGAGCATCTTAGAGATAGACAAGGTATCTCACATTTTAGCATGAATCTTGGTTGATCTAATAGTGAAAGCATGTTGCTTATCAAAATGTGAGATTTATTTAAAAATGCCAACAAAATTTCTCTAATGGTTTAGCTTTCTTCAAATGACGCCAAATTAGGGGAAAAAACGTAATCCTAATATAATTTTGGTTTTGATCTTATTCTTCTTTAAGACTTTGAGGTCTTTGAATGAATTTTACATTTGATAAGTTTTACTTTCAGAATTCAGAGTATGCTTTTATTTACTTGGTTAATGTGCAGTTATTTTGACAGGTGATTTGAGTTGTAGGCTTTGGGAATAAATACATGGTCAATTTTATTCCATTTGACGCAAAATGGTTAACCCAAATTATAACTCAAACAACAACTCCCATGTTACAGTGACAATACCTGATGTTACGACTATTCTATGTTTTCTCGTTCATATTTTCTTTTCCACAGAGAAAAAATACCTTGTCACAAGTCTTCTATGAATTTTTTTGGTCCCCTTCTTATGAATTTAAATTTATACTGATAAGAGAGCTTATATTATTCAGTTATTATGTTCTAAGGTAGCACTATTACTATAGGTTCGTTGTGGGAGTGGAAAGGCATCCTTATCCGGAATTTGGGGTTTTTCCTGGACATGATGACACTGCTGATGTCCATTGCTCATTATCTTCATATTTGGTTGCTCCATGGCATGGCATTTCATCTTGTGGATGCTGTCCTTTTCCTGAACATCCGGGTAAATGTTTCTCTCTAATCGCTACTGCAATTATAATTTTTTCTATCCTGCTTGATCTTTTTGTTACAGTTGTTAATGTTCTGCTTTGCCACTGTTGGTCTGTTATGTTGATTCACATTTTTTTGTGCTTAGGCCCTTTTAAGTGCATGCGTAAAACGTGCCAAAAGTTTCATCAAATTGCGGATGGCTTTGGGGACCCTTCATGGGGCACTTCCTGATGCTACACATGAGGAGCTCCGAGTATATGATGATGAGTGTGCTATTTGTAGGGTAAATTTGACTCGCCTTTACTTCCCCATCTGATTTCATTTTTTCCCATCTTTAAGCATGTTAAATATTGGGAAATGACAGGAACCAATGGCGAAAGCTAAGAAGCTGTCTTGTAATCATCTTTTTCATCTTGCATGCTTGAGATCTTGGTATGTATATTTTATAATAATTTCCCAAAATGCTTGTTTACTGTCATGTGGTCAGGAGGATAGAATCTAATTCTTTATGACATCACTGACAGGTTAGATCAAGGTTTAACTGAGAACTATTCTTGCCCCACTTGTCGGAAGCCACTTTTCATGGACCAACCCGAAAATGGGGTAAGCCCCCGTGCAGCAGAAATTTCAAGAGATGAGCAGCTTGCACGTGAAATGAGTGCTGTACTTGAGAGGCCAAATCTTCCTGGCCATAACCTGCCCTTTGGAGCATTACCTAACCAGCCACAGAATTTGGAAAATGGTGATCAAAGGTCTTCTCTTTTTTCTCTTAATGCTTGAGTTACTAACTGGTATTAGATAACAGAATTTGGAAAATGGTGATCAAAGGTCTTCTCTTTTTTCTCTTAATGCTTGAGTTACTAACTGGTATTAGATATGGTTTTCCTAATATAATTTTATCTGATGTTAAGTTGTAAGAACATTACTTCTCTGGAATGATTTGCAGTGACTGAGGACTTCAAATTATAAGAAAGCCAATAGATGCCTCAATTGTAGAATTCATAACCTTCCATATTATATTGGTTGGAATATTTAAATCAATTGCAAATACATATCGTCTTATTTTCATCTGATATAACTTAGTTTAAAATTGAATATTCTCTTAAATGTAATGAGACGCTGAAAGGTTAAATGCTGAGCTTAGCTTTGGCAATAACTTATTGTTGTTTGTGTAATAATCTTATTTGGTAGTACATAGCTAACTTAAGTTGCCCTCTGAAAAGCTTCTAATGCTTCAACAAAGGAAATGTCAATTGCCTCGAGTAGTTCTATGTGCTTGATAGCTATCTTGTCCCCTCTGCCATGCCGAAATGGTGATGAAGTTAGTTATTGTCCACCATTGCTTGTGCATCTCTCTTTTTTGTTGTACTAAAAACTCTTTTGGCCCCCTTCTTTTCAATTTAAGACTCAAAACTCATTACTTTTCTTTATTCTTTTCCTTTTGTATTTTTCCATAATAGGAGGACTGGAATTGAATCAAGATGGTTGGGTTTAGATGGAGCAGGCCCATCTGGATTTGGTCGTGTTCAGATGGTAATGAGGCAACTTGCAGCCGTGGGAGAGACTGCCCTTGAAGATGCTGCATGGGGATTGTTTCCTCCAAATCCTTCTCAAGCTGGTACATCCAGGACAGGAACTCCTCCTCCGGGTCCTCTGCGGTATCCCGGAGGTTCTGGTGGTTTAAGTATGAGGTCACCGTCACATGCACTGAATGATGATATAGCAAATATACTCATCATGGCTGAAACAGTTCGGGAAGTGCTGCCCCACATACCTGATGATTTAATCTTTCAGGTAAAATTTTAATTCTTTCTGAGTGAAGGATACTTCTTGTCTTATGTGAAAATTTCATGATTAAAGTTAACAAAAAGTTTAGTTCATGTTTTTATCAAATCCCAGTCTGATATTTGATGTACGGGAACTTGCAGGATCTACAACAGACGAATTCTGTGATGGTCACTGTGAATAATCTTTTGCAGATGTGATTTTTAGCTATTTTTTTGTTCCTTTCCTCCAAGTCCTTGATAATGGAAGGCTATAACTGCTGCAGGCTTGCGACGCATGAAATCGGCTTATTTGCACCTTGTTGTGCTTTGTATTATAAGCGTTCTTTTGTTCTTGTTGTGTTTAATACTATAAGCGTTCTTTTGTTTATATACAAGGGGCTTAGTAAAACCATTTCTTCAGGGAAAATGTGCAAATATCACTCTTGTAAGGAAATAAATACATTCTCTTTAAATGGATACTTGTTAGTTAAGATCTTACCGCAGTACTGTTTCTGTCAATTTGGGATTGAAATTGTCTTTGGTTCCTTGTTGCTTAAACAGATGGTGACATTGGCCCTTTTTCATAATTGTCCAAATAATGTTATTCAGCACCACTATTGTTAAAATATCGGTTTAGGTGACACTTTTGGGATATTAAATGAAAGGTAGAATGTGTCACTTGTACTACTTTTTATCGAGCCAATCACATAGAATCACTTAGACTAATGTAGTATCAGTAATTTTCGGTAGCATTATTCTAACGGTCTTGGTGTTGTGCATCGTAGGACCTACTTTAATTGAGTAGCTAGCAGAAATTTTCATGGCCAACTTGCTCAGTACACATTGGGCTGTCTCACGTGAACTAATGATTGTGATCAGGTTAATTTAGGGGGGGCGGGGGGGGGAACGGGAACTAATGATTGTGATCAGGTTAATTTAGGGGGGGAAAAAATCTCGATCTATCCCATGAGTTCTATTAATTTTTTTTATTATTCATTGCACAGTGTTCGGAAAAAATTTCATGGGTAAAACATCGTCAAATTCAAAGTGGACTTAAAGACGTTCGGATTATCGATCGCATAATGATCTTATTATTTATTATCGATCGAATTAAACCTGACAATTTATTTGAAAAGAGCTTAAAAAGTAATAGGGATTGATTGTTTTCTATTCTAATTTCTAAATTAAAATGAAGCTTAATTATTGGTTAATCAGTTGACACACATGATTTTAGAGATCAAAGCGATAGAAACGAATGTTAGGACACAATTTCACATTAAATCTCTCACTTAATTTATCGGACAAATTCATGGCAAGTATTCTTTCTGAAATAATTGAAAACCTTTCGGGCAAATTAAATTTTACCTAATTAAGAAAACCCACTATAGTTCTAAGTGAATTTTATCTCATTTAAATGCATTCATCAACCAAAAAATTTATATAACGATCATAATCTTCAAGAGTATATATCCATCTTCTAGAAAAATTATCGATTTTTAATTTTTAATTTTTTTTTTTGGGTCTAAACTAGTACATATATCAGTTAAAAAATAGGTCAGAAAATAAAATGAATAGAGCACAATAATAATAAAAAATTAAAATAAACACATCAATAAATGAAATCAAGGATTGGCTTAAAGGTACATCTCTTGTCCTACCTATAAATTTATCAGGAAACCATTATAATCAAACGAGAAAATACAAGTTACATCATCGGGATTTTAAAGAAAAAGTAGAGAACTTCAATAACAATGTTTGCCAAGGTTGAAATCTTCTTCTTCAATGAATTCCTCAAAATCCAGCCCATTGCTTTGTATTTTTCTCCAAAGTTAAATCTCTAATAATTTCAAAATCGTCAACCCTAATAATGAATGAAAAGTCATATTTATAGTATTCTAATCCCATAAAATTCCGTTTGTCAAAATTCGTTCAAACTCGTCTAGTTGTCATTCCTACTCTAAATTTAATGGACAAACTTTTTAGTTGGCCGAATCTCGTGTGACACCATAATTAGATATGGACTGTGCTACAATCTTATTTCTTATGTAGATGGCCAGAACTTGGTGCCAAACAAAAATGTTGCACATTCTACATTAATCAATAAACAAGAAGACCTCATAGAATTGGATTGTCTCGTCTGCGATCACACCGTAATTATTTTTAGATGTCAAAAATTAAAATATTTAATATAGTTCTTGTTTGATGGGAATTCAAATTATATTTTTTAGTATATTTTGATCAAAGTTGATAAAATGTGTGAGCGATATTGCTTTTAAGATCCAAAAGCCAATTTTGAATTCATTTGTTTAATTTTATAAAAGTGCTTCTTTTAGTTACAAATATAGGAGTTGTCGAAATACGATTTCCTCTAAAAGTTCTTCCGAAAGAGGAAGCTTTTTTTTTTAGAAATTAATTTTCAAACATCAATTAAAAACTCTTCTATGTGAAGTAAAAGTAAACATAGAAACATTGCCAAATATACCCTTAGGTATATTCATTAGATGGTAGTTTGTAAGTTAAGCAATGCATGTATAGGAAACATGGTTTTAGTCAATTAATCCATGATCAATTGAAACAAACAAAAGCAAACAACCCTTATATTATTATTTATTAACAAAATTAAGTGAGATTTGATGTGGAAGCTGGTAGTCAAAGATAATTAATTAGTCAATTACTTTTGCTTAGTTGAGAGGCAAACCTTTTTTTTGCTCTGTAATGATCAAGCACCCGTGACTTGTTTTTTATTTTTTAAAATCCCCGTGAGTAGATTTTATGGGCTCCCTTAGTTCTTCGTGCACACGTGAAGATATTGGTACTAATAAGCTTACAACTTAAATAATTATAATTACCAACTGCTTAAAAGTATTTCATGACAGAGAAAAAAATTAACAAAGTAGAGTATTAGTAATAGGGCATGTCTGCTAAGCTCGAGTTTCATTTTTCCGAGTGAAAAACTAATTTTCGAATAGTAGTCGATAAAATAGTTCTTTTGTAGCCAAACATATTCCAAATATAAATCATAACGTAGAAATATCCAAATTAACCTTCACGGAAGTCCATTTCCATACCACAAAGTACTCGCGAAATTTTTTCACAAAAAAGCTAGGTTAGCGTGAGCAACCTACATATAATCTCGATATGATCATCTTATGATGAGTGTTTTTTATGAGTGGGATAATCCGTGCTTAAAATTCATGGGCTTTCATGTAATTGAAGCTATAGCAAGAGTTAATTCATGGCGGATTGGCTAAGTTTATTTGCTTTAAAGAACTAATTATGTTAGGGTAGCTCTCGAAAAATCCAAGCAAAAAACATTTTCTTGTGCATGCTAGAATACACATCGGAATATTCGATCAAAAAAGGGGGAAAAAAAAAAGATTGTAATAAATGAAGAGTCAAAAACACTAAGTGGTTCCCTACTTTATCGCGTTGTTTAAAAATGGTTTATGTTATCTGACTGGAGCTATGATGTCCGACCTAGACATGTTTGTCATTGTCCCATATAGAGAGATTTGATTGGTTGGAGAGTTTGATAGTGGCATGACTATACGTTTGCCCTTTAGGCTATCATTATCCTCTTGTGGTGTTGTCGTACTACGTCGGCGCATAATGATGATGTTTCTAGATGACCTGCATTAGTCTTTCCTCCCAAATATGTTCTTTTGTCCATTTCAAAGCGATCCCACAAGTGATCCAACGTGAAAAGTTCAGATGGCCACGCAACTCATGCACTGAATTATATATCCTAAATCTAGCCTATAGGTTTCGGCTGAAAAAATAGTAATTTTATAAGTGTTTATCTGTTCAATTTTGGACATTTCCTTCATCTAATTCTACTATAAAAAGGCCTGCTTTACACCTTCATCTTCAAACCACCTTTTTAACAAAAATATTTGATCCAAAACAAGCTCTGAGAACTGGAAAATGGGTTCACAAACTCCAGCCAAAGCCACCCTTTTTCTTGCAATGAACCTTCTCTGCTTTGTTTTAACCACCGCGTGTGGAGGAGGAACCTGCGGTAACCCTTCACCACCGGCAACCGGTGGTGGACCTGGTGGTGGTCAGTCGGCAACTTGTCCTAGGGATGCCTTAAAACTAGGCGTCTGCGCCAATCTATTAGGAGGATTAGTGGGAGTGGTGGTTGGCAGCCCTCCCACCATCCCTTGCTGCACCTTGCTGGCGGGATTGGCCGACCTCGAGGCGGCTGTTTGCCTTTGCACCGCCATTAGAGCCAACGTGCTAGGAATCAATCTGAATATCCCAATTTCTCTCAGCCTACTTCTCAATGTGTGTGGAAGGACTCCTCCTACTGGCTTCACTTGTGCTTGATTCACCAATCTTCTCTTAATTTCTACAAATGAGACATATAATCTCATAATCTTGCAATGTCTTAAATTAAAAAAGAAAATTGTGTTATGTTGTACTTGTCTTGTGTTTTATTTACATGTAATTGGAGTTGTGCTCTTGATTACCATTCCTCTCAAAATATAAATAAATATATCGGCCACTGAATTGAGGGCCACTTTTATATAGATTCTAGACTATTAAGATAAAATTACTTTTTGAATTATGCTACATGTACAGAGAAGTGCAAGGACATGCCAATGTTAAGACACAAGTGTCTCCCTGGACATGTACTGATCAAGATTCCCTGTACATATAGCCTTATTTTTAATTTTTTTTTGCATACACAGTTTTTGGAAACTCGAAAAAGGTTTCCTATTTTCTTTTACTTTTTCAATATTTTTATAAAATTTGCAAGTTTCAATTAAAAATAAAGTTAATTAATTGCAAACTTCAACTAAAAAAATAATTTAATCACAAGCAATAATAACCCTTGTGCTACAAAATTGAATGACTAGTGGTTAGTGTTTAAAATAACTTTTAGTTAAATTTGAAATTTATCAAACTTTCTGTTCCCCAAACTCTTTCCCTTCTTTGGATCAAGCCAGGCCTTCTCAACTGCTCGAGTGTCAACACCATTTAAGCCCAACTAAACTAGACACAAATCTACTAGTAACTGCCCAATTCACTTTGATTTACCAGCCCATGAATTCTTTAGAGGCCCGTATCCGTCCATCTCTCGCATCTAGTCTCGACGCTTCGGTTGAAAAAGAGTAGTTTTAGTGAATCCTGTAACTCTTATGTTTAATAAATACTCATTACAAAATATCACAAGTTACAATTATATACAATTATATGAGTTACAAATAGATATTAGTATTTATGTATAAGTTACAAAATTATGACTAAGAAAAACAATATTATGAGCAGATTTAATAAAAATATAGAGTAATTTTTGAAGTTTTTCTGTACAATATTTTCTACATCTTATCCATCTACTTTACTCTTAAACCATCTCGTCAACAATGGGTTCCAAAACTCCAGCCAAAGCCACTATTTTTCTTGCAACGAACCTTCTCTGCTTTGTTTTAACAACCTGCGGCAACCCTTCACCACCAACTCTGCCACCGCCGACTGTTGGTGGTCAATCGGTAACTTGACCAGCTGATGTCTTAAAACTAGGCACCTGCGCCAAATTATTAGGAGGATTGATGGGAATGCTGATCGGCGACCCTCCCACCACTACTTGCTGCACCTTCCTGGCGGGGCTGGCCGAACTCGAGGCGGCAGTTTGCCTTTGCACCGCCATTAGAGCCAACTTGCTAGGCATCAATTTGAATGTAGAATTTTCGCTCAATTTACTCCTCTTTCTGTGTGGAAGAACTCCTACTGGTTTCACTTGTGCCTGATTAAACAATCTTCTCTCAGACTTGATGTTGAATATGTGCATGCAACTGGAATTGTTCTTTGTTATAAAATAAGTGTTTGTTCTAAGGAATGAATTGAATGACGATCTATTCATGAGGTTTTTTTAACTTCTGTTTTCTAAAAATGTTACGGCTGAATTACTTTCATCTAATTTTCAATTTTAACTTATGTTTATTTTTTTTAAATATTACATCTGAGTTACTTTCACCATATTACTCCTCCCTTTTTTTTTTTCAACGTAGGTTGCAGAAAATTTAACCTTTGGACACTACACCAAAAATTGCCATTTGCAACGGTCGAAAAACGTTGCCATTGACCTTTTGCAGCGTTCGAGTGTATGTTGCGGGCTTTGGTGTTGTCATATAACGGAAGGTTTTCGCAACGTGCATTGCGCGTTGTCTTAGATTTTTCGCAACGTGCATTGCGCGTTGTCTTAAGGTTTTTCGCAACGTTCATTATCTAATTACAGAAGCTCAAATCGAGTAAAAATGTAGAGTTTGGGACTCACGTAATTACAGAAATCTTGCACTGAATTAACTTTCATTGATTTTGTTTGACGAGCAAACAGTGTGCGTGTGTTCCAATGGGTAGATTTCTAATTGAAGTAAAGGAATACTTACGTGAGCCGGGCTGCTTTGCACTACGTCTGAGGCTGCTGCTCCGGCTGTGGGTAGAAGAACCAAAGAGCTGGATGAGGGGAGACCTTCACGTCCCGAACCGAACTTCAATTCGAGAATCGATTGATGACACCTTGGGTGGGAAGATGAAACTGCAAGAGTTCGAAGGGAAGCTAGGGCAGTTCGCGGGAATTCTCATAGTGCGTGGGGAGAAGGGCTTTGGGTTGTAATGGCTATTGGGTATGGGCTGGGCTAAGGGCTATTGGGCTTTTCCTCTTGGTTGGGCTGGGCGGGCGGTTAAAAGAAAAAAAAATGGGCCTTTTGGGATGGGGTCCAAAATGTTTAACGGCAACGCGCAATGTACGTTGGTAAAAGTTAATCGCAACGTTCAAGAGTGCGTTGCTAAAAAATATAATGACAATGTGCATTGTCTGTTGCTAACACTAATAATGGCAACGCGTGATGCAAAGTTGCTAAAACTCTAAGCACAACGCGCAATGTACGTTTCCAAAAGTCAATGGCAATGTTCAAAACAAAGCGACAACATGCATTTTCTGTTGCTAAAATCGAATAATGGCAACGCGCAATGCACGTTGCAAAAACTCTAAACGCAAGTTATTTTTGATGTGACGTGTATTTTTACTAGATTGATGTACACTTGAAAATGAAAAAAACAAGTTTCAACATTTTTTGGAAGGACGTTAAGCTTTAATTTGTAGATTCCATAACTGCAAACATAAAATAATAATTCATCAACCAGCACTATGAGATCAATCAAAAAATTCAACAAAAATTAGTAAGACAACAACATCTAACAATAGTTGACAAGGCGACATCAATTTAAGTTATCGAATGACAAGGAAACAACAACGTATTAACTTATTCATAATGAAACAATGCAACAATTTCATTTTCATATAATTTATTATCAATACATAATAGCTTTTGTTGGTGGGGTGGCTGCTGGTGGTGATAGGATGACAGTGGTGGCGATAATGTGAGATCGTGGTGATATTGAAATTGTTGCTGCAATGGTTAGACAGTGGTATAACAATTTTAAATTGCAATAGTAACAAAATTAGTATAAAATATCATCAATAACATAGTGTAAGTTAAATTTAATTTGTAAAGTAACAGAGATTTGGGAAGACGGCGGCGACGAAATTAATGTTGATGAGTCGTGATGGTGCATTAGCAAGTGAGTTAAAATTTTAAGAAAAAATTGCATCTATAATATATAGTGTAATTTACAATTTTAAAGAAATATATATTGTAACATGAATTAAATATAAATTCACATACAGTGTAAGTTATAATTATTGTCACCGCATATTTGTCCATTGGTTTTTCTGGGGGGTTTGTGGTAATTGTCGATAACAGGGATGATGGTGGCACATGATTTAAGGTTTGGATGTAGTGGTTTTTGGTGGAGGATATTGTTGGGAATCTACTTATACATGCACAGCGGAATTTAAAATTATTTCGATTCCCATCCAATAGATCTCATTGTGTTTGGTTAGGAATTGTGATAAGATTGTACCTTTTCCAGATCTGCAATCCTTTTGCTTTTCTTTTCGTTCCACAACTTTGATTCGCCACCACAACTGTCCAATTGTCCAGCCTCCAACGGTGATCCACACAGAGAATATGATTGCAGCCTCTAGGGTTTTCTCTTGTGCCAGCAAGAATAATGAAAACCTTAATGGACCTCAAACCCTAGTTATGTATTTATATAAACCCAAATAGGCTCGGCCCGGTCCGGCCCAATAATTAATTAATCCAATTAATTAAACCCGGTCCGTGAATTAATTAATCCAATTAATTAATTCGAAAATATAAATAACAAATCCAATTAATTAATTTATCCAACGATTGTTAAATTAATCAATTGGCAATTTGCAATCTTCCAATTCTCTTTTGTGTGTGACCCATTAGGTTCCCGACCACGATGCCTAACGACGTGAAATATTATTTTGATCTAATCAAAATTGATAAATTAAAACACCC